CTAAATCTGAGAAAAGAGCTAAGGAAAGGTTAAGCCTGGAGAAAGAATGCCACCCTTCCCAGCTGGCATGATGGTTATAACAAGAGCTGTCCTCGGAGCCAAAACACCTGCACATGAAATTAGTCCCCTGGAATCTCCCTGTTTGCCTTCTGCCAAGCAAGTCTACCCACAGTCAAGAATGACTGATAATTATTGAATTTGGGTTGAACAGTTTCAATTCATAAAATTTAAAAAAATACCAGTTTGGTCCAGGTCCCAACAGAAGATGAAGTGAAGACGAAGGAGGAAGAAAAGGAAGGAGGCTGGCTTGGCTGCTCAGCCACTTAACAGAAAGAAAAGTGTTATTCATACACCCTATTTCTCCCTCAATCTTAACGTGCAATCCAGCTCTGAAAAAGGGCAACAGCACAGCCCTGCACTTTCTTTCTGACTTGTTCTCTCTGCATCATCCACTTTCCTGTATGTTGGGTTTAGCAATGATAATAAATATTATTTCTGTTAGTCAACAGGATCTCTGGAGAAGGAATGGGTCTGTGCTAGCTCATACATCATGCAGCCTACATGGCTGAGACAACAGAATACTGTTAAGAGTGTTATTACTCAGAAGGGACCTGATCTGGACTACAGTTTCCAAGGACTTCTACAATACAGAGTTCTAGGCAAGGCTCATGTTTTTACCCTGTTTCTGTACAGTGCTTAGCACAAAAGCCTCTGATAAGGGATACAAGACATAACACAAATAATGAACTACTACATTTGGATGGCATCCCACTCATTTTCTCACACATACCGTGGCAGTTTTGAATCACCTGGGAGAAAACAGATTTCTGGTTTTGCTGTTAACTCTGTATCAGTCTCATTCTCGTGCAATGAGGAAAGAAAGGTACTCACCTCCTTCCTTGCTGACTCCCAAGCACCCTTTCAGCTCCTGAAGTGAGATGGATTTGTCCTTGTTGAGGTCACAGTAGTCAGTGAAACGTCGAGCACATTTCTTGGGCTTGGCTTTCTTCTTTACGTAACGCTTGAAAGGCTTCAGCTCCCGCTTGTTGATGTCATTGCTACTGTTGTTGTCCAGCTGGCTGAAGTACCAGTGCACCACCCGCTCCTCCAGTGTGTGGCTGGGGTCTGGCTCAGAGAACCTGTAAGAGAGGAAGGACAGGCCCCCAACAAGTGGGTGCTCTCACTAACATTGTCAAGCACACGCTGAGGAGCCAGAGCTGCTCACCGAGTCAGAAACGCACTGTGCTGTATTTAAAAGGTGCAAAATATGCAGGTTTTATGATCTCCTCCTTTCTGGCTGGGCTCTTTTGAGAGAGATTAACTTTGTCTCAAAACATACTTTAGCAAGAACAAGTGGTGCCATGAGATTCCTGGAGACTGATACTCTCGGTAGCTCCAGTTCTCCTCACACCAGTTGCTGAAACCCTGCCTGATTCCAGAAGGATCCCCTTCAGAAGGCAAGAGGCAATCTCCATGGCCCTTTTCATCCTTGGGCTCCCATTCAAGTTACCAGCTGTCACAGTAGTTTCTGTGATAGCAACATCTAGACTTCAGAAAGGGAACAAACTCATTTAATGCAAGACACATTTGTTACTTGAAAATGTCCTTGGCAAGATGCAATGTTCTTCCTTGTATCTATTTATATGACCTGAACTCCTGTGCTGTATTTTCAGCATATTTGATGCTTTTCACATGGTTGATTCATACACAAGAATTCCACAGCAGACCAACACTACAAATCCATTAAAAGCAATACTATGGAACTGACAACTTCAGTTTGCTTCATTTCTTACTCATTGCCATATTACAAGTTTGATGTTACTTGGTCACATTTCCTTTCTGCAGACAACAACCAACAATATCAGAGAGGAGGAGGAGAAGAGGAGGAAAAGCAACAGCTGAAGATGTACAAACAGCAAATGCTGCTATTCAGTGTCAGGCTATCACTGGATAGGCACCGTTACACCATACCATTTAAGTGGTGTGTCCTGGTTTGAGCCAGGATGAAGCCAATTTTTCTTTTTACTGATTTTTTTTTCCTTCAGTAAGCTCTCTTGTAACTAGCAACAGCGTGTTCTGCTAGGCTGATAAGACAGTGGAATGTTTTTCTAACTACTGAGGCTTCAAGGCCGCACCTGCACTCTGCCGGCTCAGACACTATGGGGAGATCTGTGACCCCCCCGTAGGAGGCTGAGTTAGACAGACAGCAAAATTGGCCAAAGATATTCCATTCCATATATCTACGTAAGCTCAGAGGAAGGTCAGAGATCACAGAAGACAACTTCCTTCCTTCTTCTCCCCTTCTCTTCCGTCCATGGCCGGCGTCCAGGGAGGACTCTGTTCATCCATCACCGTCGACCCTTAGGCTCGAGATCTCCTGACCCCCATAACTCTCTGCTCTGTTCCAGCAGCAGCTTCGGGATTCCTCGGGACTCTTCCCAGTTCAGGGAAGTGCTGTGGGAGTTGCTGGGGTGGGGGGAGGCGAGAGGCTTTTGCCCATACCTGAATATATATCTGTATATAATTGTATATATTTTCTTGTAAGATTTATTAGTGTTTTAATTAAAGCTGTGTAGTTTAGTTTTCAATCCAGCCAAGTCTCTCTCTTTTTCTCTCTCTCCTTCCCTACCTGGGTGGGAGGGGGAGGGGATCGAGAACATTGTTGTCAGACCTGAGTCAAACTGTGACAGTGGTGTCTGGTACATTGCAGCAGAGGTGGGAAAGGGGTCATAACTTCCTTGGTGATACTGAGAACCAGGGAAGAAACTCTTTCTAAAGAAGAATTATTTAAAAATTGCACTGAGCTAGTTCTGTGTGATTAATATGTCAACAGTAAAAGCTGAAACCATGCTGAAACGAAGGCTGAGACTCAAGCCTTTTTCCTCCCCAGAACGAAGCATTTCAGAGCATGGAAAGTAATGGATAGGTAGTCAGACATGCTACAGTGGTACTGGTTGCTCTGACTTATCTCAGGAGACACCTCCAGCTGCTGCCTAAATTCCTTCCCGAGCAAGGAGAGAGGGACAGTTGGATACTACAGGCTGCCAGATTCTGGTGTGAGGTTGGGGCACTGTAGCCAATGAGGAAAGATGAACCCAGGTATCATAAAATACACCTCAAGACTGTCACTGACCTGTTGCAGAAACTGGTAGGTTATATCATTACATGGTCACTGCAAATTTTATTTGTTGGGAACTAGAAGGGAGAAAACTCATTTGACATTCTGGTATGACCAGTTTTGCCTCTAAAACACAACTACAGAGCCTGAAAAACAAAAATCTCACCCTACTGCCATGAGAATTTAAAACACTAGTGAAAGAGAATCTGCAACATGCATAAAGCAAGCACTGGAGCTTAGGTGGAGAACGGAGCCCCCTGTTAACCTTCTCTGATAGCTTTTACAAACGAGGATACAACTTAGAAAGGTAGGCCCCATCCAGAGGCATCTAGATCCTTGCAACATGTAAACACACAGAGTAGGGAGAGGCAAATAAACTGCACAACATTTTTCCCAAGGTTTTACTTGAAATTATCTCCATCATCTAATTCTTAGCTGAGAAGCAGCCTGACATTCAGTCATAGCATCTGGTCAATGTACACTGGGATAAACACTGTGGGGGAGGAAGAAGAGGTTGGGAGTAAATCTGGCATACTTTTAGGAGCCAAAACACAAGGCAAGCCCCCGGAGCCACCTATGGACAAACAGATACTGCAAAAGTCTCCCCAGGAAGCTAAGGGAGTGCCTGTATTTTTCAGAGCCTTGAAACTGTATGCAAAGACCAGGGTGACAGGAGAGAATAAAAACATCCTGTGGCTTGTTTTTATGATATTTATGAACACAGTCATTGGCCTCTCTCCCTTTTGGAAATGAGCTGGCTGTCATTTGAAGACCAGCATGTTTCTGACAGCCACAGGGAAGTTCTGTATTGCAAGGGATAACATTCTGCTTTTGCTGAGATAAAGGAACAAAACCTGGGATTTTGCATGCAAGATTCCTCTCATCCACCCCTTGGCCTGCTCCTTTGTTTCCTGAAGACCCCCAACTAGAGAGAAATTGACACCATAGAAGAGCATCTTACAACCAACAGCAGAAAGACAACAGCCAGGAACACCAGCTTCTCTCTACCTGCTGAAGAGACACTCAGGACTTTAAAGTGCCTCTTTTTCAGAGGCACACCAAGAAGGAGCTCTTAAAAATTACCAAGAGAGGCAACAGAGCTCTCTCCAGCACTTCCATGAAGAAAAACAGGGAAATCCACTGGCTAACAGAAATACATTGATTCATGAGGTGATGATACACCAATCTTTGCCACTACAAACATGCTGAGAGCCCATGCCGAAAACTACAGCATGCTAATGGAGCTGAAGGGAATTAGTTTAACTGCTGTGATTGCAGAAGGAAGGAGGATACAGCCATTTCTGAGCTTTTACCACTTCCTGTTGGCTGGGTAGCAGGACTGCAGTTCTTGAGTTAGTTGCCTGCCCTTTCTGATGATCATCCAGAATCCCAGCTCAGGAAGGATCCACATCATCTCAGTGCAGTCCTTTCTCCCTGGCTCATGAATTAAATGAATCACTAATTAAATGAAACAGCCCATGAAGGGCTGAAGTTAGAACACTGTATCTAACTTTCTTGACTTTCACAGCTGCCCATGCAAGACACTTACGCACCATCCATGAAAGAAGAATTGCTGCAACTTGACAGCACTGCTAAGCCACCTAGCTTTGATGATGTGCCATGACAACAAACATACCTGCTGAGTCAGCTGAAATAAATCTGGGGGCTCTAATTGTCCTGCAAGCACAGACTTTGCAGTATTCCAGGGGAATTTCCCTCTATCACCTCTTTGCTGTTGCAAAAGAAATAAATCAGCCCTCAGATGCAAACTTCATTTGTTGTGCTGTCTCTCTACTCATTCAGACCATAAAGGAACTAGAAAAGACCAAAGCTGCCCTGTACATTCTGAACTCACAGCAAAACATAATCTCTGGCTCTAGCACCAGTTACACAAAAATCCACTGAATTCCAGTCTTTCCCTCCAGTGCTGTAGCAGCTTTGTAAGACCTAGTAAAGAAAGACATTACCAAAATGCAGACAGCCTTCTCAGTCTTTTCATGTTGACTACATTACAGCTGAACCTACTTTTCTTCCTAATTGTTCCTTCTTAGGACTCTATGGGAAAACAATCAATCCTAAAGAATGAGCACTGAGGAACCAAAGAGCTCTGTGCAAGCTGATTTTCCAAATCTAAACTGCTGTTGCTGGATCACTTTTGTATATAAGCCAGAAAGTTTAACTCCATTATGCAGCAGAAGCCCACCCACAGTCCAACAATGAAGAGAAGCACAGTCTGTCATTTAACAGCCTAGGACAGGGAACCTGCTCTCTCAGCATTCTTAGTCATTTGTTGGCATCAAGTCTTCTCTAAGTAGGCTTTTACTCCTCCTCCCGTATAATGTGCTATCAATTCCTTCATAGGAAAATACTTCTTTCTTAGGTGTCTTATGCTTGGAGATACATGGTTTGCATTCTGTTACTTTTAACAATACTACTTTCCAGCCAAGACACTTCCACAGAACATCTTTGTATCATCTGGTGTAACTGGAGTACAGGCAGAAAGCAAAGAGACTATGAAAAAACGTGGATGTGTGCCTTTGCAACTGCACTGAATTCTGGAGCAGAGAGAGAAGAATATGCCAAAATACCAAATACACAGCTTGAATATGCACTTTGTATGCAGTCTGTAAGGCTTTCCAGCCCTTGAAGCCCCTTGCAAGAAAGGAGTTAACTCAGTGTGAAGAAGTAGAGAAGGGGAGGCATATAGGGTAGAGTATCCAAGAGCAGCAAATGTCAGACATTACTTGCACACAGAGCTGTGTACAGTGTGCAGTCACCTTTTCCTCCATAGAACTGTGTTGTCAAAGTGTAATATGTCCCACCAAATTTTACTGAGTAAACTGTAGTCCAATGCTAGCAAAGCTGATCCTCTGCTCTCTGCAGACTTGCAGCCCCCACTGCATCCCACTCACAGGCTGCACAGACCCACTGTTTCAGTAACAGAAAATCCTAACACAAAATACTGCTTTGACAGAAAGCAAGGCTGCAATCTCTGAAGTACTCAGCAGATGATCACCTGTT